CCAGTTTTACTTTCTTGTATCCTGCCTCTTAAAAGTGTGTTTAGGTTCTCACTTGATTATACCAAGCTATTGTGATTAAAGAACTTTTGAAGGTTGAACCTTATGAGACATCAAAGGTTGCTCCTCAAAAGGATGACATGTTTTGTACTGAAGTGTAATTTACAATGCATATCCTTGTTCAAAAGGAATAAATGAGCAACATAACATGATTCATTTCTTACATGATGTTAAAAAAGAAAGGAAATGCCTTGGGCTATGATAGATTTATCTCTTGCATTGGGAGATTGAGAGTAACGGCAAGAGCATGTCCAACGACGCCTTGGCCGCAGAGGGAGTCGAGCCGAGCATATCGTCGTGTAGCATTAGTGTTTTGGTACTTTTTGTTTTATTAGAGTCTTGACTTAACAACCGCCATGTGGTTATCTTAGACCGCCTATATGCGAGTGAGGAGCAGAGCTTGCGGTTGTCCATTGCGCTTTTGTATGTCGACTTTCGGTAGTTTGTACTCTAATTTTGATCTATAAATTTATTTTTAACGATCAAAAAAAGAAAGAAAGAGAGCATGTCTTTTTCATTTTGACTTCTAACTGAATAGAAGGTGAGAGCTGTATTGATGTTGAGATCCAACATATCAAAGAAGAAAAAGAGTTTGATAAGGGAAAGTCAGATGTAATGTTCACATGATAATTTTTTTTCCTTTTTTTTTCCCAAAAAGTGGTATTTGTTGCTCTTTAGTTTAAGGACATGTTGATACAAGATTGGAGACTCAGCTATTTATCAAATAGAAATGTTCCCCTACTCACGGTTGGCACATGTTAATATGCCCACCGCGTAGGTAGCATGCACTCATTAGTAATGTATTTTTTTCTAAAAATATTAACATCACCAATGAGTGCATGCCACCTACGCGGTGGACATATTAACATGTATCCACCATGGATAGGTGAGCATTTCTCTATCAATATATGTTGTGCAGGTTCCTTTGTCACATGCCTTTAAAAGATTTTAAGTTCATATGTCTTTATGAAGGTTCCTTTGTCACATGCCTTAAAAGATTTTAAGTTCACATGTCTTTGTGAAGCTTAATTAGAGGGGATCTTCTGGAAACTAAAAGTAGAAAACTTGTGTTTTATTTGGTTAATTTCAAAATTTGACCCTTTGTTCATACCATTTCAAGATTTGCATGTCTACTTCTCCATAATAAAACACCTTTCTTGTTCTACTTGAAGGTATGTTCGTTTTCCACGGAGATTTTGATCGTTCGGTTACATACATTTACACAAACAAACATCTATAGTTGCGTGTTTGATCCGACGATTAAAATTCAATTAATGTAGTGACAAAGGGTGAAATTAATCCTATTTGTAAGTGGATTTAAGGTGAAATTGAATTTAGATTCCTGATTATTTTTTTGGGTTAATTATAGTTAATTTTGAAAATGTTGGTTGTGTGACTAATGTCAGGTTTCAGTAGAATTTTGAGTTTGTATTAAAATAATATTTAAATAAACTAAGTAAAATTATGTAATGTACTTGTATTAGATTTGTAATTAGAGTAATGTCAAACTAAAATACAAAGATCGATTTTAACATTTTCAACCGATTAACAAACTTCTGATTGGTCTGCTGACAACCGATTCATTCCAACAAATCAAAAGAGCTAGTTAATTGCTGATTCTGATTCAACCAGGCGATCCGAGTTGAATATATATATAAAACAAATATTTGCACAATGCACATCCTATTTATCTCAAATATTTGCTATGAACACCACCTAAATAAAAGTTTTGGTAACCTAATATATGGGTTAAAATAATTCAAGATTATAGTCCACAAATAAAGAACACGTGACCCATTCTTTTGGCCATAGAAAAGAAAGTCTTTGTATTGATTGAAAGTAAATTTGTCTCCACATTTATGCCCTTCCTTTAGTTGACAGTAAATATGTGTTTGAGGTTAACACAAATTGTGATGGCGACGAGATCGCATTGGCGTACTTGGACAAGTTTGATCCTCTTCGTATTTAGCTATTTAGTTATTTAGTAATTTATCTTGTTATTTATTCCCTTTTATTTATTTCCTATGTTAGGATATTTATTGCCTTAAATAAATTAGGGTGGAGAGCCTATTTAAGAGGGCAGAACATTCATTGTTATTCAGTTTACGATTGAAATAAAATATCTCTCTTGAGTTCTTCTGAGAATTCATATTGTTCCCACCGTACGTTTTCTACTGCGTCAAATTGCATCATTAGTGATTAGTTTAAGTTACGTTGTATATTTGTATTAGTATTCCACATAAATACTTTTTTTTAAAAATTAGGACAAACTTTTACAACGTTGCCACGTTAAATAGGATGTTAGTTCTTTATGCTACTATATATAATTTAGGCAGTGACATTATTGGCTGACTAATAAAGTTCGAACAAAAATCATAGTGTATTGTTTTAATGATGCATATTGGAAAAACCATATAATTGAGTTAAGTCGAGCTCGAGCCAACGCGAGATTTTAAAGTTCGAAAAACTACGTAAAAACTCAAATTTGTCAAACCTAATTAGAGTTCAGCTCGTTAACTAAAGGAGACTGAATAAAAATATGAAGTCTTAAATAAAAGATATAAATCTTTAATGTATTGCTACCTTAATGTCTACCAGGTTTTTTCATTGTCAGTAGTTTGATTGTTCTAAACCACTGTGTAGGGTGGCTCTCCTGTTATTCGAAACATTGAGCTCGTCGGCTCTTGGCTTGTA